AAAAAGTCCTAAATCCATTTTTAAAGAAATATTATTATGTTGACATTAACACGAAGATCTTTACATTGAAATAACAAATTTTACTCATCAAGAGCAAATCAAAGTATCATTTATACAAGCGAATAAATTCGAACTGCATGAGTTATAATTTTAATTTATTGCTTTTAGATTTAACTGTATTAAATATCCACAGTATGGAGCAGTAAATAATGGTCAACCTTTACTATTTTATTTATTAGAATTAATAATAATTCAATTTAATAGGAGTTATATTTTATTTGTCTAATCAACCCTGATGCAGGTCTAGTTAAACCGAAACGTCTTCACACATTAAAATATCTTAATGATTCACCTCTTCTTTCCTTGATGAATGTTTTATCTATGAATTAGAATTCATAGATTTTTAGCTTGAAGAATTGTCTGCCTTTATTACAATATCAGTCCAAGAACGGATTTATGTTTTTACATCACAAGGGATTTAGAAATACCCATTTTATTGAAGTCACATTCGAACCTATTACAAAAATAATCTTGTGGAAAATTGACAGTTAATTAATATAGTATATAATAACTGTTGTGTAAAAAAACAAAGTAGTAAATACTTTTTTTTTTTAAATATTGCTCTAGTTTATATATTTTTAAAGTTAGTTACATCAAATTACAACAGGCTACGAGCAAAGTTAAAAGATAAAAACAATTGGAATGAAACCAGGTTATCAGATAATAGGTGTGCTAACGAGCCTGGTTTATGTCGTTGCTTAACCTGGGACGGTTATTACATTTATATTTTCTCTCAAAATGTTATGTTTTCATTAATTAGGAAAAGTCGATTGTGGAGACCAGATTTTCGTGCATTATCAAAACACGCGCGGTACTCAACGTGCAAAACTCAAAATGTGATCTTACAACTTTTGACTTAAATACAATAGGAGTAAAATAGAGAAAGGCAAATTAACCCTTATAGTTTAATGAATAATAATGATAAATAATAGGAAAATGTTTACTACATTTTGAAAATAATAAACCGAATTTGAAACGTTAAGCTTGGTAATGAGTTAAATATAATATTTGAATAATTAAAATTAAAGAATAGTATGTTTTCCTCAATTAGCTTTGAGTATGTTTTCCTAAACTTTTACCGAAATTAAAAGTTCAATAATTTAATTTTATGGTATTCATTAAAATCAAAATTTAGCCGTGTATGTAAATCTTGAAATTTCACCCAACTCAAATCATTACCGTGAAATTCAAAACGTCCTTGTATTATTCTACAATTCATGATACGCAAGCGATTAAAATGTGTAATTACATGGCAATTCGGTCTCTAGTTAATATAATATTAGTATTCATATTCTAATGGATATCTGATTTTCTTGAGCCAGTTTTTTTTATTTAAAAATACTCATAATTATTATTGAATTTTCGTTGCATTAGAATTGGATGCAAGAACTCGATTCTTTTGTGTTGATTTGCAGCTGGATGAGCCGAGATGAAGAATCGTTAAGTTATTTTTATTGATGTTGTAATTTATTACCGTCATCCCAGTTCGCCCAGCCTTTGCTAATAAGTGACAGTTTTATGTTTTTTTATTAACTAATAACTTTCACAGCATTTCTTACCTCAGCTTGGATAGTAAATTTCTTCTTAATTCTCTCTGACATAGCTTTGATTATATAAGCCTATTGAAATATTTTTTATTTCGCAATGTGATTTATCCTAGCATTGCTGCACTTTAGATGATAGTATATAATGACGCATTGATGATAATTTATTTATCTTGCAATATCAGCCGTGGATCGATTCTGGGATTGAGAGACCCTCCTAGGGCACACCCAGTCTATATCAAGTGTATACCTTTATATGTACCGTGTTCAACCGTTTGTCATGAAGTAGTACTCCCTTAGCTAGTACTCAAGTAAAGGTCCTTTATGGATTGTCCTGGTGCCGGTTATTTTTTATAAATAAACTTATAACGAGAAGTTAAATGTAGTAATGAGTCAGTGTCTCTTTGGTCGAGATTATTTTGACGTAAATTTTATATTGCTTAGTATGCTGTTAATAATTAAAATCCTACTTTAGACTGACCGAAGAAACGAAACTTTTCTAAACTCTATTAATTAATTACCGTTGTTACTAATCTGGCAATCACCTTAACCAATACGAAAAACACATGCTATAACTAAACAATAATTAGATATTTAATTGGCACTAAAACGGATAGAGGAGTTACGGTCTTAGCCTTTCGCATTGTTCCAGTAACCTTTAGCTCGCAGTAATTTTGAGTTACGTCACATGCTTTGGAGGAGGGGATGGTGGTGGGGAGCAATTCCTTCTAAATCTCTACGGAAAGTTTCTAAGTCGTAATATCGGATTGATAAATTATTATTTTTAAAATTTCCAATTTAGTATAAATTAATACAAATAGTTATTTTACAGGGGAACATTAGTTATGAACTATGTAAAAAAACCTCCCAACCTACAATTTTACAATGATAATACAATATTATTTCATTTTATTGTGAATTCTGAATGTTTGTGAATCTTCGTTTTTATTCTTTAGGAGGATATATTTGTACCATTGTTTTGTGAATTAATTAATAATAATAATAATATAAATATTATAGAGCAGCCGGGATTATCGTACTATATTGCCAGATTGGAAGATGGGAGAAGTATTGGATTGAATTTGTTTCGCTCCACTCTCAAAAAATGTGATCAAACCTTCAGGTAATGTTTCTCCTAGAAACTTGGTAAGTAAGGCAGAGATTGTGAAAAGGTTAACCTTTAATGGGTGATGAATAGCTAATATTCGAAATTCGAATAAATTTTGTTACAAAAGCTACGCCTTCATTATCCAATTTGATGTCCCACTTATTCCTATTCAACTGATCCGCTACTGATGTTGGTCGATGTCGCGCGGTAGGAAATATAGAGAAATGTTATGACTAGCTACATAACCAGGAGGTTAAGTCCCTCCTGGGGCACACTCAACCTCCATAAACTAAGTGGGTACCAGCTCCTTCATTCGCTAGACCGTCGAGTGTATATGGTGCCAGTACCAACTGCACTGCCCTCTGTCAAGCAGTACTCCTTCATCAATTACTAAACCCAAGATTCTTCATCAGTTGGTGGTACAGGTTTATTTATTAAAATATTCATAAATATACGTCTATAGTGAAGAAATATAGGTCATGGTATGGATCATAATCTCTTGTTTGTTTTTTTTTAAACATAAATCTTGTTTTTCATATTGATAATAATTAAACTTCTACCTTGGAACGGTGTGAGGGAATGAAACTTTTAGCAACTCCGTTAATTAATTACCCTAACAACTAAGAAGAACCAATTTAAACTTGTCGCAGCAGTACTTTTCACATAATTTTGAACTTAAATTTCCTTCAGCCGTTGGTTCGTAAATCATAATTAATCAGTTTGGATCATGTTGTTCTACTTTTACTTTTCTTTTATATTACTACTATATATATATATATATATATATATATATATATATATATATATATATATATATATATATATATATTTTAAGTGACTTATCTCAAATTAATTATATGTGAATAATCCTCCTTAAAAATGTGAAGATTTTTTTTTATTTAACAGTTTAAAGAGTTATTATGAAATTAGTGGGAATATTTTTGAGCGAGTAGCCGCAGAATGGTTATTTATGCATGTTTATGTAATACAACTATTGTCTGCGGAGATTCCCACACATATTTGCATCGATTTTCGTTTTAAAGAGGAGCTTTAATGTTTCAAAAACTAAAATCTAAAACAACATTTCATCGAAATAAAAAAAAAAAAATTTTATTAAATGATTCAATTCAAATTATTTTGTTTAAAAATAAATTGTATTTGATATTTCCACAATAGTTTTGGAATGTTATTCGCAAGCTATAAATTAACGTTTAATTTTATTTCCCCAAATTAAAGTAAAGTAAAGAAAAAAAAAAAAATATATATATATATATAAATTTAGGTTCAATAATGGGAAATGACCTGAGCGCTAGATAAAGATCAGAAGATAAGCAATTTACTATTAAAACTACTTTTTTTATCTATATCGAAAAGTAAGTTGATCCATCTCCTAATTGTCGTGTCCCTTCATACATAGAATGGGGATGGGTATATCAGATTTTCTCTTATAGGTTTGGAACAGGAATCCATTTAATAATTGGGCAGTTAGTTGAATATAGGAATATTCTGTATAATACATATTCCATGGAAACTAAACCAACAATGATATTTGTCGGATAACAAACGCCACATATGCTCAAGTTGGGCTGCATAAGAGTAAGAGTAATATTACAAGCAATAAACAATAGAACCAAATTCTTGTTTTTATGGTTGCAACATTATCCACTATTATAAAACAAACTTTGTAAACTCCTTTTCGGGGCTTTTGTTTGTCAACAAGATGCCAAGTTTTGTTAAGGTCTTAAATGGCATATCTAGTCAATCTTTGATTTGAAAACATAATATTTATTACTGAAATTAGTTGCATACTCCTTAAACATTATTTGATAGTATAATATTTCGGTTTAACAACAAGTTGGTATACTTGTTTGAGTTGGTAGTATTAAAACGGTTTTTAAAGAAAACTGCGAAGTACGTGGGTATATTCTTATCATATTTATGTTGTATAGCCGTCTATCTCTAACTGACAAGATTTTACTATATATATACCATTTCAATTATTATACAAATTGGAGGATTGGTTTCTATCACAGAGTGGTACAAGAATATTGTAGTATGGCATGTAGAGTGTTTAAGTTAAGTCTAAGATTATTTTAGTCATTTGTTTTTGCTGTTTGATTTTAAGCCCTTCTGATGCACTACCATCCCTGATTATCCTCAGCATGTCTCAAATAGTAAGGAGTTTCTTTATTTTTTGTAAGCATTGTTTCATCTGCGTTGATTTTAGTCATATTGTGTGATATGAATCTTGGTTCATAAAATTGTTGGTTATGTGATATTTTTCAACCTCACACAACCTCTACCACTATACCACCTTTGTTGATAGACTTGGTAGGTGATGCACAATGACTCCGATGTGATGTGGTCATGGTTTCAAGTGAGTTGAAGCCTAGACTAGAGATGTCAACACCTGTGCCCCTAAGATCGCACTCCCTCCACAGCCTTCTATATATATGGGATTTATAAAAATGTAAATAGGACCTAATGGCCGTGCGAGGGTTGTGGAGCGTGACTGCCGGACATCCGCTCCACCCCCTCCACACAGCCACAGAGCAGGGTTTCCCAATACCTTCCTCTCCTAGGGACATTGTCATCATCCTAAGGAGTCCCCGTCCAACATCCATCTTTGTTCATCATAAACATTATCAGTCAAATCTGGATCTGGAATAAAAAAATGTCGGGTGGTGTGGAACGCCAGAGGCAATCCCTGCACTTGTTTTAAGAGCAGTTATGCCAAATCGAAAGACGTTTGTCAATAGTTTAAAAATGTATAAATATTTATTTAAAAAATCATTTAGTATTTAAATGTTGTTCTCTTTCACAGCATTAGATTGTTTCAGCATTCTGTTTAATGGATAAAATAAGATTACAATTTTATAAATTGGCAGAACATATGAGATGAAGAGATATCGTTGATTGTAAAATTGCAAGTCGGAAAATGTAGTCATTAATCTTATTTATTAAGTTTGCCGTTGTTTTGACTCAAGAATGTGGGTTATTATCAGGGTAGTTAATAGTTCGCAGCAAAGACAAGAACTGAAACGTCGGCGAACCTAATAAACACATTAAAGCATTTCCTGGCTATTATTCATCCCCAAAACATATTTATATTAGTTTTGTTAAAATATTGAGGTTTATCATCAAATATTGGTAATCCTTTTTAAATTTAGGGTTTTACGATAGTCCATTTTGCATAAAGTAATTGCTCACCTGATAACAGCATGTGTATACCTACCTATTCATTTGACTTGATGCATACATTTGTAAAATAATTACAAATATATATTAAATAGTATTAAAAATGATATATGTTAAACTATAAATCAAAATTCGTTAAATTACTTAGAGACCAAATATATATAAATGTATTTATAAAAAATAAAATAATGAAGAGAAGAATAGTTGGGGTGTTCAGTCAAAAAAAAAAAAATAAATAAATAATATGGAAACAACAATTAATTTTTTCACCTCTACCACAATCTTTTTTTTTTATTACCTTTATGATAAGTACGTAATTTTTATGCAATAAAATTATTGCGCTTTAATAAATAACTATTACGGATTCTCGATATATCCCGTTAATTAAGCCCTCTTAAGTAAGAGTGAAAATTAAATTATAGTACAATAAATTTAAAAATAGATTTTTTTTTTTTTCTATTTGTTAAATGACAGTTAAATGAAACAGCAAGAAAAGAAAAAAATATATTATAAGAGATTAATAGTTGAGTAAATTATTTTATGAATTATATTATAATATATACTATAAAAATCAAAATGTTTATTTATTCTATACGTAACTTCACTTGATTAGTAAAATTCGTCTTCTTCAAGAAGAACCTCTCTTTAACGGACACAATGATAATAATAACTTATCTGTCCGTTACACAGGAGTCTCACTGTACATTTATCGCCTAGAGTGAGATAGAGATAGATAGATCAATATGGAGTGAGAGAGAAAGAGGAGGGGAAGGATATTTCAAAATACTAAGTCTTATCAGTGTGGGGCCTGAATTCCCCATATTCTAAAATTACGTTTTCCCTTCATAACCAATCAAACAAATTCTATCTCATTTCATTGTACAATGCAACGCTTCCTCCTTGGTAGTAGCCCAGAAGACTTATGGACGAAGAAGACTGATCGGAGCGGTGTGGCAGCGGTGAGCAAGAGGCCGGACTGTTGCTAAACCGCTCTTGCCAAACACACCGTCACATCTGTCCGCCCTCAATTCTCCCTTACTCTATCATTCTCTACTTTATTCACGCCAGCAACCTTTGTTTATTATTATAATACCGTTTGTTATTATTAATTACAATTTGTATTCATGTCGAGAAAACATGTCTGCTACAATTTAATGTAACGTATGATAGAGGGGATTGTTGCCTTCCATATCCAGAATGATAGAAGACAAATATTCGATTGTAGTTATTAGCATAGCGTTAAAATGTGTGTAGTAGTAAACATATATTTATGGTTTGAATCCTGCCTAGGCGAATTGAAATTTATTTCGTTACGGATCTATAGAATTGAATCTCCACCTTCCCTGTCTGGTTTGAATAGATTGCTTACTTGTAGGATAAACACATCGAAAAAAAAAAGTAAAAACATATGAATTGATTTTTGGTATGATTCAGTGTACAAGTGTTTCAAGACATTTCTGACTCTTTTCAAGAAAAAATAAATTTGAAATTTTAATGTTGTACCCTTAATCAAGGGTAATAATAATAACGATAATACAATTTATTCACACCAATATTAGCAAATTGAAAATAAATTAAGTAATAGCTAAATAAAAATATAAAAATGATAAGGAACTTTAAACAAAAAAAAAAATGAAACGTAATAATTAATAGAAAAATAATAAAATTGAACTTAAGTTAAATAACGGGGAAAAAAATACTGAATAATAATTATTTTGAACCATTGAATCCTTTTTTTTTTTTTAAGTGATTTTTATTTATTTTTGTTATTTATCACGCAACGCGCTTTCTTATTATACTTGTTTCTCTATTATTTATCTTATGTTTAATGTTGTTATTTTTGAAAAGTTAAAATGTTATATATCTTAAATATTGGGTCCTAAGGCATCGCCTAGATTAAACGTATATTAACAGAAGGACAACAATCGTTCGATTATAATTCAGTCAAAAATTCCATCTTTCTGCCTAAATGTTTTATTTAGGCCTTCGGTTGTCCTGGAATCAGCATATGTTCCTCTTTCGTTGCTCATTTGAAGTGAGTTGATCCGAATTTTGAAGCTTTAAAATTTTTGACAGTCGAATTTGTAAACGATTTTGAAGAATCACATTTGGTCTTGTCTATTTCAACCGATTGGAAATATACGACTGTGTAAAGTTATAATAATCAAAACAAGTTATAAAAAAAGGAGTATATTCAACATTATTAGGAGTAATATATTTTTAATAGATACTTGTCGAGTTCCGCTTGCTAAGTACGTCCAGGAGCTTTAATTTTCCAAACGTTTACTAATTAGTTATAATTTTTTTCTAAAGTGGAAATGGTCATTTTTCCTTCGTTGCCTACTATGTTTCGGTAGTTCGATATTTTTAGCGTCAATTCCTTCTAGTGTAATAGCATAATAGTACAGATTTTTTTTTAAAAAATTAAATCAAGGTAGAAAGTGATAACAATGTTTTTTTTTTTAATTATTAGAGTATTTTTTTAAGTAGATGTTTTTTTCGCCCTACTCTAAACTTATATGTGTAAGATAATGATTAAGAATATATTATATTGTAGTAATAATGATACGTTAAGTTATAAAGGTCGGCAATAGAAATAGTAAAAACGTTTTTAGTTGATTAAAATTTATTATAATATTTTCAGACAAAAGATTGAATACTAATGAGCACCAGGTAGAAACTGAGATAACAATAGCTCTAGATATGCTTAAGTGAACTTTGTTAATGCAGAAAAATATTTTAAAATTTATTTAAATCCATCAGAAAAAAAGTAATAATATTAAAAAGTATTAGCTTTTTCCCCACTGTCGCCTTTTTTTTTTTTTTTTTTTTTTTTATCACAGACAAGTTTGAATTTTTTCAATAATGGTAAAATTATTCACACTAAAATAAATAATTCTCAGCATAAAATATCGAAAAGCTACAAATAAAGTGCCGTTAATTGCGCTTAGTAGTAATTAATGGATTGCTATTTGTTGTTAATGCAGAGAGAGAATCTGTTTATTGTCATGAAATGGTACTACAGATTCAGCATATTTACAACAATATTTTATAACTGATACGTAAATGAACAGTAATATTTCTTATTTTGCGTCACCGCGTTGTGACATCAGCGTAGGGGAGTGTTTAATCAGGATTGCCATTGGATAGGATTTAACTTTTGGGAGATCCACCTGGTCCACTGGACAGTAATATTTCAATATATACAAATACAGCAATCACACGATATGTATGTATGTATATATATATATATATATATATGTATATATATATATATATATATATATATATATATATATATATATATATATATATATATATATATATATATATTGCTTTATTTTTATATTAAATTTATTTTTGTATGCTCTTAACTTTCTTATTTTTAATTTTATTTAAACCTAAATTATATTCTCTATCTAAATCATCAATTAGTATTTTAAAATATTTAATATTATATATGGTAATAACAAATCAAAAATAAACAGAAAATAATCTAATATTGCACACCCATCTAAAATTAATAAATATAAACGTAAGAAATAAATAATTAAATATTTGAAAAATATATATATTACAAACTTAAACGTTGGTTGGTTTGGTTGCTTGTATAGTAAAGGCGTAAAACCTATTGGTCATAAACGTTGTTATTTAAAATTATGTTATATATGTATTTTAAAATATTTAATATTATATATGATAATAACAAATCAAAAATAAACAGAAAATAATCTAATATTGCACACCCATCTAAAATTAATAAATATAAACGTAAGAAATAAATAATTAAATATTTAAAAAATATATATATTACAAACTTAAACGTTGGTTGGTTTGGTTGCTTGTATAGTAAAGGCGTAAAACCTGTTGGTCATAAATGTTGTTATTTAAAATTATGTTAGATATTTTGGTTATGAATATTAAGAATTGGGTTAAATTTGAAAAAATATTAAATGCACGTTAAGATTAAAAGTTGTTTATGGTTATTAAAGGTTAGTTATTTAAAGTTCACACGTTAGATAAAACTTATCGTGTTATACTTATTATATTGTTATACTTATTACAAACTTAAACGTGTTATACTTATTACATATTGTTTAATTGTCTGAACATATAACAGGTGTATTGTTAAACAAAATACCCACGAGAGTATTCAAAATCTCTCGAACTTCTCGCTACGAATCAGGTAAATTCTGTATCGCATAACCTCTTTTGAGTTATGGAAATTCCCTTGGTATATTATCCCGAGCTGAATGGCTGATGGCGGTCGCTGGTTGGTGAGGATCAAGAAAGTCGTGATATTATCTCTTCTAAAAGGGCATACCCCAACAACACAATTGCATACTCCTGATTGCCAAGTCCCCGCGCTGAGGGCTCTTGCCTCATTGCCGATTAAGCTATGACATCACCTACTTTAGTCAAATCATGTTGGATTCGTGAACTGATTGCATTGTCGCCTCGTGTAATTAACAATCTTTAGTTAATTATCTCACTGGATATAGGCGGGGGTGGTTGTTAACCTATATTTCCGACGGTGTATACCTAGCCATTCAGTGAACCCTCCATTTATTTTGAAAACAAACGTTTCGTCAGTACAGGAGAATGAAAATATTAAATATTTTCCTCCTTAAAGGTTCCTTAAGATGTTATATTATATTCATTATCCGTCTTTCAATAAACTGGACTATTAACGCTTGTTTGATTTAGCTGGCTGGTTATGGTTAATCAAAGCTTTAAAACCTCCAAAGGTACGTGAAATAATTTAAGCTCTCATGACAAAAAAAAATAGAATAATTATTGTTATTAGAAAATATATCCAAAATTAAAAATATATATCTGAATAGGACTAAAAGGAGAGTACATAAAATTTTATTGATAACTTTTAAGCACCTGGTTTAATAAGTCATATCATTTCTACAACGGAGATATGTACCGTAGGAAATTATCAGTATAAAATAATAAATACAAGTTATTTTTGCTAGATTTGGTTATTCAATATAATATTTTTCTTTTCTATTTACAGATATATTCCGTAGGTCCGAAATAACTTTTAACACCCGTCCATTTCGAATTCTGACTCCGCTAGACTCGGAAATGATACATCGGATTACGCATTAAAACGCATGTCCACCATGTTTTACGATTTTATATTTTCAAAAAGTCAATGAGTATATTTTTGAGAAGGAGTTGATCGGGGGGTGCGGTCAAATACATACTAAGTTATATAAATAGTATAATTTAACCTTTTTTGCCGACGTTTCAACCCACTTTGCAGGTCTTCATCAGGGCTACAAAAGATACAAAATATAAAAGGTTCATGGTGAAAATAAAATAAATGAATATAAGTAGATATAAAATAAGAAGAAGCCTGATAGAGAAATAAAAAGATGAAATCAGACATACAGTGGGTGACAATGTAGGAAAAGTATATATTTTTATATTTGATATTTTTACTACATTGTCACCCACTATATCTCTGATTTCATCTTTTTATTTCTCTATCAGACAACTTCTTCTTATTTTATATCTACTTATATTCATTTATTTTATTTTCACCATGTGCCTTTTATATTTTATATCTTTTGTAGCCCTGATGAAGACATGCAAAGTGGGTCGAAACGTCGTCAAAAAAATTAAATAATACTATTTATATAACTTAGTATTTATTTGACTGCACCCCCCGATCAACTCCTTCTCATATTATATCACGGTCAACCATCTCTACATCATTATGAGTACATTTTTTATCGAGATGATCTTTGAAGAACCTTTTTGTGAAATTTGATGCTATTTATCGATAAAAAAATGACAATAAGTGCATTAACATGATATGAATCATACCAATTTTACCGACGATATTTATAACGTTATACATTTTTTATTTACAAGTACCCCCACAAACTGGCATTGTTTTCCGTGAAATTATATATAGTTTTTTTCATTCCAATTCGATAGCTTTTTATTATTTATTTATTTTTGTCTATAAAGAATATGATACAGTATAGATGAAGATCATATAAGTGTACAAATGATGAAGTAAAAATAAACCAATAACATGAAAAAAAAAATCGTCCTAATGTTTATGGGATATTTAATGATAATTAAATTTCTAATGGATGGTTCTATTAAACAAACATTTTTTGGAGATTACTTATGTGCTCTGTGGATCATCACAGTCATCTATCCAGGATTGTTATTATTATTTTTTTTTTATGGAACATATTGTGCCTATCTGTAAAGATCTTTGCCTACACAAATCATGTCGAATACGAATTTTGAACTGCTAATCCCGATTGCTATCATTGACATACAATATTTGACTTTTGGCCGAGGCGGAAACGCCCACATGAGCAGTGCAGTCCCGATTTCTACTGGATCCCGGCTGGCACACATGTCGAGGAGTGGTGCAAGAGCTGGACCGGCACTTCCCAATTCATGTCAGTCGTTGTGAAATGTGGCTCGAGAAGAATGGGACCTCATTCGCCCGCCAGAGGCTGCGCATTCGATTGGGCTACTCCATGTGTATTAAAACAATTTGGAATTAGTTATCCATTGTTTTCTGGGAGTATTAATCCATTACGTACGAAAGGAATAGATTATTTCATAGAAACTTACAAGAATCTATTTATTTGTAATTTGTAAACCTTCAAGGCATATCATGTATATTACTCATTTAAATATTATTATTTCCTTATTTTTCAAAAGAGAACCATTTAGATTTTTTAAGTTATGAAATTTACTAATATTCTTCTAGATGATAATATCTCAAACTACTAATGTTTTGCTTCCAAACTATACGTAGTAATGTTGAATATTTAATAGTTGACCGTTGCATTACAAAGGAAGGAGATGGTCCGGGTGGCGGTCATAAATAGGCTAAATAGTGGCATAACTATGTTATTAAAAGCCAACGTTTCGACTCGACTTTGCAGGTATTCTTCAGAGAGGTGTGTTCAGCTAGGAGTTAAAACTAGAGTTAGTTATATGACCGTCACCCCGGACCATCTCCTTCCTTTATACGTTGTAATATTTTGATTGTAAATTAATTCTAAAATAAATTAGCAGATGAGTGAGAGTGATATTTGGTTTTATTTTCATGATATGAATTTCCTTAAAACAAGAAATAAAAACATATAGTAATAACTATAAAAGTAGTGGGAGCTATTTTTCCCGCAATCAAAACCAATGAAATCATTGACCATGAAGGAAAAATCTATTCTTTGATTTTTCTTATTTATATATATTTTTTTTTGTTAGTTTTTGACATACTGTATGGAAAAGCATTCTATTATTACGTAAAATGAAGGTGGGAGAAGATAAACAAATAAATAAATAAAATTATTGATTTAATTAAAACAGTGTATTATAAAATTGATTTTTTCCTATTTAAGCTGACAATTTTATAATAATTCCTTGATTTGTCTATTTATTTTTTATTCCTACTGTACTAGAAAATAAGCTAAAATATTTGTTTTGGTAAGTCAAATATCTTTTCTGTCTCAGCATGAAAATTATTTACCTTATTAAAATAAATAATTCTTTCTTCGTTTGCGTCATTTTATTATATTTTTACATTGCTTTTATTGGTCATTTATGACAAAAAAAAAAATGAATTGACATAAAAAATTAATCTTGAGCATTTGAGGTGAACCTTACCTTAGCTCGTCACAAGATTTTGAAAAAAATAATGGATATTTAATTTAATAGTTATCAGGTTTTCTTTATAAAAAATATGCTTAGAGTTTACTAACTTATGTTTTCTTAATATCATGTTACTTTAACGGACCTTATTAGATACCCGTGTAGAATGTGACTGACTACATTATAATTTCAGAAATAAAATTTCTATTGTAATAACATTGCACAGGAAAACTCTAATATAATTAACTCATTAATTTTCCTTAGTTGAGTTCAGTGACATTAACTAAGTAATTACGACATTGGATTTAATATCTTTGTGAAGGAAAACTCAGAGAGGGGTCAACGTAACCATGATTTATCAACTATGACCGAAACAAAAACTATACCGCCGTCATTAAAATAAAACAATACCGGCGCACTTTTATCTATAAACTTCCTATTGTATTTAGGAGAAAATAAAATTACAGGAAATACTACGACCTTTTTACGGCAACTCAACTAGAACCGCAGGAAGGCCGCTTCTCGCTTTCATTCGCAATAAAATCGATAGTCTATTCGATTAGAATCTATCGAATAATTTAGCAGCGTTTAATCTGTTCCACTAACTCGGCTGCCATTTTGCTTTTAACTTTTTATCTGACACATGTAACTAACATCATGATATACGTTTGCATAGCTTAATTAAAAAAAAAAAATGTAGCCTCAAAGTCTTGCTTTATTTTTACTAAGTTTTATGTATGGAATTTTATAAATATAATTTTAGCAATTTTTTTCAGAAAATAATGCAATATTATTGTTTGACAGTGATAGAACATCATTCTTCACTTAGTTTATATTTTTTGTGTTTATTAGTTTGTTTTTCATTCCTGTCTTTGCTACTACATTAGAAAAAATAAAAAAAATAAAATAGACAAAACTGCTTAAATTTGCCGTGAAGTCCAAGAATCGAATCGAAATTTTGTGACTTATTGAGAAATAAAGATTAAAAAAAAAAATCATAGAAACTACGATTCGTAAGAGTATTTTCTGATAGTTATATATAAAGGAAGGAGATGGTCCGGGGTTGCGGTCATAAATAGGCTAAATAGTGGTAAAACTATTTTATTGAAAGCCCATGTTTCGACCCGACTTTGCAGGTCTTCATCAGGGAGCTGTGTTCATTTAGGAGTTTCACTTAGAACTGAAACTCCTAGATGAACACACCTCAATGATGAAGACCTGCAAAGTCGGGTCGAAACGTCGGCTTTCAATAAAATAGTTTTACCGATAGTTATATATGTTTTAACTGTTCACATAATATTTGATAAAATAAAATCCTAAAAAGGTATTTATCGTGTTTAAAAGCAACGCTTCAGAACACAGATTCTCAGGCACTATTGACTGTAAAGAGGTCATATATCTGAATCTGGTTATATATTGAAGTGGATACAACGCATTCAAATTTGTCTATGATTTGTTAAGGCAAAATTTCTTTATTTGATAAAAAAAAAGCGTGAAATTAGAGTTTTGTTTGGCTGCAACCTCCCCCACTTTTTCCGTTTTAAACGTTTTTTGGCCTTTAATCTAATTTTTACGTTTTGGTTCCCTTCTTTTAATGGTTACATTTTTATATTCCCTCTCTTTGAGTTGCCAGGCTAGTGTAAATTGAATTCTTGGGATGGGCTAAAAGCTTTTTTTTCAAATAAATTTCGAATGGGCTTTTAGACTCCCTGTTCCCTAGCACCATAAAAATATTATATAATTGATTTATCTAAAAAAAAATGTCAGGTCTTTATATAAAATTAATCGGAATAGATTATAATTAATTGTAAATGTAAATTAATATCATCCTAATTAAATCAATATATATCTTTTTGATCCTTTTATAGAAAACTGATTGTAATGATAAGTGAGATAAATCGAAATTAAGATAGTTAAGGGGGGTGTTCGCTTATTTGTGGTTAATTTTGTTAGTCTGCTAATAGGAAATTACCAGAAAATCGCTTATAAACGTAGTAATGGAGACCTGACTGAAGTAACGAAAAGTTGCCGTTCTTGACTAGGGTTATTTTTTTAATGAAGCTTAATTACTTTGTATTCTCCTTCATAAAATAATTAGATGCTTTTCACAATTAATTTAATTATATTATATATATATATATATATATATATATATATATATATATATATATATATATATATATATACACATAATATTATTAATTGTGAAATAATTGATATATAATAGGGTAGAGAGGATGGGATTAGGTCTTGCTAGCCGCATGGAGTATACCACCGAAGCTTTCTTCTCTCCCTTGCATAACTGGGCAAGTAACCTTAACGTTCTCGGCCTGGGAAATATCAGCGTAATTGATTCTAAATCCAGCCTCTTCTTGTCATTTTACGCCCACTATCAACAACCTCCTTATGCAACGCCTTAGTCAGCTGTGGCGGGGATATCTAAAACGATCTGAGGATAAATCAACATTGGGAATTTAGCGTTACGTAGACGAATGTGATCTTTGTTCTAAATCCGATATAAAGCTTACCGAGCAACATGAGAAAGCAATGTTACTTCCACTTCAAATACCAAAAATTAATGAATTATGTTTATTGTTCCAAAAAAGCTTTTTTTATATTGTAGTTTTGGTCGTTCGCTGGTTTTGAAGATCTCCTGGATTGTTGAAGTAATTCATTTTTTTATAAAACTTCAGTAGGGGATTTCCTTCTTTAGGAATGGTGAAAATCAGATAGATTTAAGAAAGAAGAAAACTATTAAATTATTGCCCAGAAATAATATAGATTAATATTTCACTATAAAAAAATAATTGTAGTAAACGAAATGCCGTTTGATGAAGCAGTTTAATTAGTTTTACTTTCAAATCAAATCCTGGCTGTGTAATATAAAAATTCACTCTTTTGACCTCACATCTTCTTTCCACTATACTATATTAAAGAATTCACCGCTGCAAATATTGACCATTTTCTAAGAAAACGGTGAATACTTCTTTTTTTTTCTTTTTTTTTTTTACAAATTTTTGTTCCAAACATTATTTCAGAACTTTCGGTTTTATTAATTTATTTTAAATTAAAAATTTTGAAAATATTTTTAAATAAAGGTGGTGAATAATTCAGGTGTGATAGTAAAAAATTTATGATTCGGAAAAATTAATTTAAAATATCTGGTATAGAAATTTTTCTATAAGATCTCAATCGTATTGGCGTTTTCAAATATTTGGGTTTATCTGTTTATATATATATATATATATATATATATATATATATATATATATATATATATATATATATATATATATATATAAACAGATAAACCCAAATATTTGAAAAATATCACTATATATATATATAGTGATATTCGATATATTTATTATTTCATCTGTGCATGAAGGTGTTTCATGTTAACTTAGATTCATGTTAACCCCAGAAAATATGTATGAATAGATATAAATATTTTTTTTAAATTTAAAAGTATTAAAGAAAAATAAAGAATTAATTTAAAAAAATAAAATTACATGAAATTTGCAAAAATTCTTGTCTCTTAGGATGATTTTCGCTCTACAGGAATATTTACTTTAACTTTTTAGATATCCGGAATCCAAAGATTCTTCCCGATGGAAACTCCCCCGGACTCTTTATCCCAGACGGCGGGTATCAATAAACCCTATTACGGAACAGCGTCGGGTGGCAGAGTCCATTGTACCTGGAGGGTCAACAGAACTCGGGCAAAACAGGGAAGTGTTATCGGTTACGTAAACTGGGCCTGGCTTACATTGCAATAGCAATAATAATAACAAACAAGGGGTGAACAGACCCGGGAGTGCTGACCTTCGTGGACTAGCCCATAGTGCCATCTCGGCAGAATTCGTCCAGTAGTACTATCCGCGGTGTTCCTCTGGGGGCATCATTCATATCCTAGCGATCCGGAAGGTCGTGGTCGGTGCAAGGAGGGCGAGAATTCTCGAGCGTTAGTATTGCTCGTTTATTTTAAAAAAATAAACGAGCCTATATAATAGAGATATATAATTTTATCAAATAATATCTCCACTTTTTATGTATAAGAACCCAGCTTTAGCATTAGAAACGATTAGAAAAAAAATTCTGTAGTTGCTCATCGTACCGTGATTACATATATCTCGGTCTAGAATAAATGAATTTAAGTAAAATTTTATATTGGTAGCAGGATGGCGGCTAGACAGAGTATAGAGAAGGAATCACATCAGGTAGTTTATTATCATATCGTGTGGTGGGTATTCGTATTTAGAAGTAGGTACTTGATCACATATTTTGCATGACCTGGATAAAACGCCCAGAAAGGTTACATTATGTAAGGTCCACGAAATATTACAACCAGGTATGAGTTGTAGATGATCACATATTTAATTACTAATCCGTTTGCTAGGATTTTAAAAATATTGTTTGGAAATGGGATTTATAATGGTAATATATTCATCTCCAAGCCTTCTCAGAGCAGAGTGTCAAATTTTGTTGAGGACTCGTATTGAATGGGAAAAGGAGTTTCAGTTAGGAGAATTTCCAAAACAGGAAACAAGAGAAAGATTACACTGCAATTTTTATAGTTCTATTTTCAGTGGTACTGTTTTCAAGAAGAGGAGAGCAATTCAATTCCTTGGTAGAGGAAAGAATACGCCTACGCAATAGTATCTGGGGTCTAATCATTGATTTGTTCCCATATTCGAATGGTATGAGTCTGGAACATTGCCTATCAGTTAAATTTATTATCTCATAATATGAATTAGTAGTCGATTTTTATTCTTGCATGAAGTCAGCGAAGCCTAGGGTAGTTTTAAATTATTTTAACTTTAGAGACTTATGAGGATTACACATTAGAAATCTTAAGTTTATCTAGTTAAAAATTATTAAAATCTTTTCTTCGTTTCGCATGAGACATCTTCAGGTCTAAAAATTGACTACTAATTCATATTGTGAGATAACTGTCCATCGAGAGCTTTTATGTTCTTATTCTATATTTATAATAAGTTTTATTCTTAAAGCGATCAAAGATGTGATTGATTTAGAAACTTCAGACAAAAAAAATTAATAAAATAACGATTTTCTTTCTGTTAAACCTCATCTCTGCAGGTTTCTTATATGTTTAGAGTTTAGGCACATAATTATAGGACTTAAACTATTTTTTTTCTGTCCATTTACCGATACGAATGACTATTGAAGACAGACAGACAGACATACTTTGGGTAGGAACAAAGAAGCGATGGCTGGGCTTTTTGTGCTGACAAGACGAGGAGTGAAAGCGATGAGCTGCCAAGGCCATTGCTAATAGAGCTGCACACATTAATCCCTGATTGCAGGCTCCCATCGGTACCCGTATCCACACCTTCTCCTCCACCATTATTGCAAACTCTTATAGTATCTGCATACTTATAAAATAATAATATATAAAGTAGCCAGGTAATCCTGTGAGATAGTTGGCACGTTCGGGCAACTGCGCTCTGTAAGTATTACTGTTTCCCATAGAAGGGAAATTTCGTTTCACATGCAATTTTCAGTCAAACATCTAATTGTGAAGTATGAATTATTCATTCTGTAAAATGAACTATTCATACGCCACGGGTAAAACAACACGGGTAAAATAAAGTTATTAAACTATTTTGCGAAACATTTCCATTTCAGCTGGACGACTGAAGGTCATCTACAAAAAATAATAATAATTGCAAACTAAATTTTTATCGTGTCTGTTTGAGTTAACTCGTTTCTCGCTCGTAAAAAATGTTTACTTTATTCCCTCAATTAGTGCCTAATGAGGACAAAAAGAAAAAGGAAATATAATGTGAAAATATTTTCTTGGAATAGTATTGGCGTTTATGTTTTTATATTGCTATGTTCTCAAGTAGCCTGATAGTGAAGCATATGTATTATATTCTAAAAATGAGATGAAGATCTTACATTCTTGTATCGAAAGTGTTACGACAAAATCCGTTCCTCTCGCTTTATTCTTGAAGGCCATGAAATAAATCGTGAGTCTATAACCTTTTTCATAAGTTGCCTAGCTCATTAAATATCCTCTAGATTCAATTAAAATAGAAATGCAAGTTTTTTCGTACTGCTGCAGATATGTTTAGATTGTTAATAACTCTTAAAATCAACTAATTGTTTATTTTCAAATTGGAATCTATACAATTATAACTATCGTTAGCGTTTATTGTAGATGATTGTTGTTTACTCGCTCTTAATATCTTTGTATATTATTCTTAAAATAAGGAACGAGTTGGGTCAGTGAGTAAAGCTCTGTGCTTTCATACTCATTGTTGAGTCAGACATGTTTTAAAGAATAAAAAAATTATAGCAAAAATGTCTATATATACATATAGCATTATTATTAAATGAATAATAAATGATAAATGTTCGTATTAATTCACTAATAGCATATTTGTATATCGTGTATGGCTCATGACTCCTACAGAATCTTCGTAGACCCAGAACAAATATTGAGACAAGACCCAGACACGACTTCACGACTTATTAAGTTCTTGAAAACTATCGACATTTATAATAAAATTTTAAAAAACTTCAAGAGACTTCAGTGTAAATGACCCCAGAGATCGAAACACTCAAATAAATAAATATTTTTTAAAAATTAATTTTTAAATATCATGCTGAAAATCAGTACGTAATCAATTTTCTGAAAAATAAAATAAGAGATCACACTTCATATCTACATTAGTAATTTATAAATATCAAGATCGTAATATGTCTGGAAACACTATCTTAGTTGTGGATTTACAGTTATATAAACAAATGCCTTCCAAGAACCAAGAGATATTAAATTTTTATCAAATAATTATTTATAACTCAAAATTATGAAAGTATTGCAACACAAATATACTTATCTGGGACAATGAGACGAACTACTGAAATAACTATCAGTATATCGTGAAATTATTCCTGATGATTCTGTACATCTTTTTTTTTGGTAATCCGGGAATCATACCGGTATATCCCTAGTGCCATTGATTATCTACCTCAATGTACAAAGAAACATATGAATCATATTCGTATTTTTCTTTTCTAAAGACCAGGTGGACATAGAATGGTTGAGACTATTACTTCATTAGCAATTGAAAAACCGTTAACCCCGCTGGACCCTGATGTTAATTTATGGTAAACCAAAAGGAAAGAGGAAGATAAGGGGAAGGTAGCCCACTAAGAGTGAAAAAACAACAAAAAAAACAGAGATGGTAAGAACAGACCACAGCGGGGGCGCAGGTGGAGTCCACTCGACCGGAATGAGTGGTTTGAAGTCACTAGTGCCATCATCAGGTGCTTTCTAACATTGTACTCTCATGTACTTGATTATGGATTTATTTTATATTTTAATGGTAATCCTTATTATAGGATAGTTATCAATTACACACAGATAGACTATGCATTACCGCACCTTTAAAAGAAAACATATCTCTTCTAAACTGTTGAAAACTTATCGATACGAGTGCGATATCAAGCCCTTATTAAACCTTAAGAGATTTATCCTTCGGCAAAGGTTACGCCAAAGATTTTGGTTCAAAGTGTCACGAGATCCCAGTGGGTGATAACCCTTTGAAATTTCGGTTGGGTCCGATTTTATCTCAATCTTTCAACATAGTTTTATATCTCTTGTTCCCATTTATCAAATAATTGTTTTCCATTGTACAACTCTTAAACATCAGAAAATTCAAGGAGAAAATATTTATCTTTGTTTACAGAAAACTGGACTAATTTTAAACTTTGAGATAAACCGAAAGATAAATTTTTTTGCCGTATAATTCGTAGTCTCATAGGCAGGTATACGCTTAAGGCACGTGTTTCAATATTTGGTTGGTTTTGTTCCCTTATTGCAACTCTGCTGTGAACTCAAGTTGTATGGTTTATCGTTTTTCGCCCCGCTCCGAAATAAGATAATCCTGACTGACCAAGACCAGGACTGGTAAAAAAAAATCGATTTTTTAAAATAAAAATTAAGGCAAAATAGTTACTAATACTCGACAATTTTAGTTACTATATGTTAATAATTGGTATAACCAATATACTTTTGCATTTAACTGCACCAATTTTTCATTCGGGCTTAGTTAGGTTCCTCCTATCTAAAAAATGACAGCAATATCTCTATCGTAACAAGCTAATAAGTAACTCCAAGACTGTTGCTAGACTCTTGCGCAAGACCAAGCCCATGACCAAGACAGAGTTTGCAAGACCAAGACTCGTCTCGGTCTCGCATTTGGGCAACACTAACTGTAATTTTTATGACATATTTAAGCACACGAGTTAGCTTGATTTCTTTGTAGACATTATTGATTTAATTTCTTATTTTTTAAATTTTATTAAATTTAATATCTGTCTGCGATAGTCAGATTTTAATATCGATGTAACTGATAACCGACTAAAGCTGTCGAGCAAAAATATCGATACCTCTTTTTTAAATCGATGTATTGATATTTTCCCAACATCTATAATAGAGATGTGTAAGGGCTGCCGAGGGGGTACATTCCCGTCACGGCCCCTGATTATGATGAGCCCCCCCCCCCCTTCAAGGTCCCCCTGTTCCACCTGATGCCCTATCACCATCACCATTGTTCAATGGCTGCCTGTGATCGTGAGCTCCGCAGTTCCTTTAATCTCAACTTAATTACTATTTATAGCCTCTAATTACTGGGAATAGTTTTACTATTCAATATACTTGTAAATGTAGGGTAATCATGCTCCGTTTCAAAAGTATTTGATTGGATTCTTTTATCTCCCATTTCTGAGAAGTACATAGAATTCTGAAGAAATTTCTCGTCGTAAAAGGTTATTAAATATTGGAAATATTGAATTAGAACTGTTCCTAATTATACCTTAATAAAACTTGGAATGGCTATTTTTATTGCTTCGTTCAAGTTA